TCCCCCTCCTCCTCCTCCTCCACCCCCTCCTCCTCCTCCTCCTCCTCCTCCTCCTCCTCCTCCTCCTCCTCCCCCTCCTCCTCTTCCTCCTCCTCCGCCTCCTCCTCCTCCGATTGGCCTTGAGATCCGAGGTTCGGGCGTTGCACTTGATTCACACATGGTGTTTGCGCCCGGTATCGGTCCCCAGGACCACCATATATCGATGCCGCCAGAGAAAGATGCAGCAGAAAGGTGGGGTCCAGGGCTCCGGTCGTGATGTTTCGCGACGTTGCAGATGTTTCCGCGACGTCGGATCTGAGGGTAGATCGAAGTGGAGGTGGGGCGGTCGGCGCTGCGGAGGAACGCGCCGGTTTCGGCCAGGTCTGGGGCCTGCGGCCCCTGCGGGCAGCGCAGGCGTCGAGAGCTTACAGGCCCGCGCGCGCAGGTTCACCGCCAGGGCGCCCGGTCTCCCAGGGAAGTCAGGAGGCGGCGGATGCCAAGTGGGGGCGGTGCCGGTGGCCGTGTCTCGGGGTGGCATCTCGAGGCGCCTCGCAACGGCGGCGCAGATGTGACGCCAGGGGCGGGTCTGTGCCGCCGTTCATGTTGCGAGGTCCGACTGCATGTGAATTCACGCAGGCACCTTGGGCACCTCCCTTCGGGTTGTGTCGCCCAGGTGTTCTGTCCGGGCACCAAAAAAATACAGTCGGCCCGCACAGCAAGGGTGGGCAGCCTGCCCAAGGGTACCCTTAGCAGCCTTGCCCCTCCGGCCCATCCTTGGCGATTTTCGCTGGCCGTTCTCGTTCGAAAAACGCGGACATGGCCCCCCAAAGGCCCTTACATCCTTACCGCGCATCCTTCTCATACGGGTTGACTCTGGCACGCCAGAGAAATCGTGCCTCTACACAGGTGCTCCGCGGGAGTTTTTCCCCGACGTCCCCAGGCACCCGTGTGGATTCGTGGGGCGTCTCTTGCGAGGTCCGAGGCCGAGCGAGCAACGTGTCCTTAGGTTCCTGGCGGTGGATCTCCGTTGATCGCACCTTCGCATCGAGGCGCATGAACCCAGCGCGGAACCAATAAGGGGAACACTTCCCTTCTAAATTGCGTGACTGAACAAGAGAGGACTTGCTTTGTATTTCTTTGCGTTCCTTGGTGCAGTTTTGCGTCGCTCTGCAGTGGTTTGCATTGCTTTAAGTCGTTTTACGCTGGTGCGTGTTAGTTCGCAGCGCTTTGCACTGATTCGCATGGCTTTCCTTTGCTAGGCCGTTCTTGGCTTTGTTTGGCCTTGCTGTGCTTGGCTTGGCTTCGCTTTGCTTTGCCTGGAATTGCCTGGCATTGCCTGGCGTTGCTAGGCTTTGCTTGGCATTTCTTGGCATTCCTTTACGTTGCTTGGCATTGCTTTGCGATGCTTGCTTGGCATTGTTTAAGGTTGCTTGGCGGCTTGACGCCGCTTGGCATTATTCGGTATTGCTTGGCATTGCTTTGTTTGACATTGTTTTGGTTGGCATTGCTCTGCTTGGCTTCGCTTGGTTTTGCCTTGTATTGCCTATTGTTGCCTGGCATTGCCTGCCTGGTTTTGCTTGGCAATGCTTGGCATCACTTGGCATTGCTTGGGATCGCTGTGCGATGGTATTGTTTTGGTTTGTGCTTGACATTGCCTTGCATTGCGTTGCATTGCTTTGGCAACCGGACAACCCGCGACCGGGCAACCAGGCAATTGGGCAACCCAGACAGCCCAGGCAACCTGGCAACTGGGCACCGGGCAGCTGGGCAACTGGGCAACCGCGCAAGTGAGCAGCTGGGCAAGCGGGCGACTCAGAGATCCGATGTCGTGATTTTTCAGCGCGCGGTCCCCAGAAGTCTCGACCCATTCCCCAGGACAGTTTTTCATCCCGAGTCGTTGGTTGACGCTCCCGAGGCCCGGCGAGGGCCGCCAGAGGCCGAAGACGGTGAAAACCTCCGTCTTGATTTTTTCAATGCGCTGGATCTCTGGGAACCCGACGGGAGGGCCAGGCAGGCCGAGAGGAAGGCCGGGCAGCGGGGCACCCCCGGGCAGCCCGATCGGAAGCTCGCGCGCAACCCCTGGGGGGGCCACCCCGAGGGAGGCCAGCCAGCCGGCCAGGCCCACCACCCACCAGTCTTTCACAAACGAGAATCTAGGCCTTCTGGGCCCAGCCATGATGGCGTCGGAAAAAAATCAAGGCGGGGAGGTTTTTCTTTATTTTCGGCACCTGGGGGCCCCCGCCGGGCCTCGAGGCCGTCAAAAAACGACTCAGGATGAAAAACCGGCCCCAGGGAAAGGGTCTGGACTCCAGGGACGCCGTCCTGAACAAAACAGGACGTCGCATGTCTGGGGACAGACGATGCGGCTCGACGTGGAGACCGTGTTTCCCCACGCCGACGTCGCCGATGCATCGCCGACTTCGCCGATGCATCGCCGATGCATCGTCGATGCATTGGTGACGCGGCGCTTTCCTTCGACCCCATCGACTCGGACACCATCTAGGAGGCCTCGAAAGAAAGAACCCCATTAGGGAAAAGGGAACGGCGTACCCTGAGATCCTGGCGTTGCAATTTTTTCACGCCGGGCGTATCTTTCGGGTTTCGGGCCCAGGGGCCCTCACAGCCGGGGCCGGGGGCCCTCACAGATCGATCTGGCTCGAAGAGTGACGCAGAAAGAGGGGGTCCAGGGCTCTGGTCGTGATTTCTTGCGATGTTGCAATTTTTGTCGCAACGTCGGATCTCAGAGTAAACTGTGGCCAAGCGCGGAATTCGTGGGCTGGCTCTTGGCCCTCCAAGTCCGCGATGACCTTCGAACAAGGCTGTGAGATCATGTCGTTGTGGAGCCTTCTAGGTGCAGGAGCTGCTCGAGAAGAACGAGACGATCCCCAAGTGGATGGACGACATGGTCGCTCGGAGCACCAAGCAGGGCCAGATGAAGTGGGCCGCCAAGGAGGCCAAGCGCTTGAAGCACGAGAAGAAGGACGTGCCGGAGTGGATGGCCGCACTGGAGGAATCGGGGGCAACGATAGGGGGGGATAGGCATAGGGGGGGATGCATCGACCCCCAATCGCCCACTGATCGCCGATAGGGGCCCGATACGGATTCACTATCGGAGGCCTATCGCCGATCCATCCCCAGACATGCGACGTCCTGATTTTTTCAGGACGGCGTCCCTGGAAGTCCAGACCCTTTCCCTGGGGCCGGTTTTTCACCCTGAGTCGTTTTTGACGGTCCCGAGGCCCGGCGAGGGCCCCCAGGGGCCGAAAGTAGCGAAAAGCTTCCCGTCCTGATTTTTGTTTACGGTGCCATCATGTCTGGGTCGGCGATGCAATGCGATGCATCGCCGAGTCCCAGGTCCACGTTCCCCCCCCCCCTGGGCTGTCCCTATATCCCCCCCCCCTCTCGCGGCCCCTCGAGGAGGAGGACGACAAGTGGGCGAACCGCTGGGCCGCGTGCAAGGCAGGGGCTGGGCCTTCAGCGCTGTTTTTGCTGGGCTTCGGCCGCGTGTCTTGTCTCCCGTCTTGGCAGGAAGGCGCAGGAAAGCGGGCAGCGCAAAGCACGAGCAAGACAACGAAACTAAACGAAAACAGAACGAACGCAAAACGAAAACAAAACCAACACGAAACACAAGACGAAACGTAGCGGTAGAGCAGAACGAACAACAAAACGAAGCAAAACGAAAAACAGCGTTTCGGTCCAAACCCTGATGCAAGGTGTCGGAGCTGCAGTTCGCGGGCGCCGATCCGCCCGACTGGATGAGGGAGAACGGCAGGAAGGCCGTGTACGCGGCTGCGATGGAGAAGCTGGCAGAGATCCAGGAATCGTCTGCGCGCAAGAGTGGCCCGCCCTCCTCCTCCTCCTCCAGTGCGCCCACAGGGGTCCCCCCAGCAACGGCTGGCGCGCTTGGATTTGGCCTCCCCGCGGCCCCCTGAAGCCGCGCACCAGAGGTCATTCTTGCCTAGGGTCACGCTTGCGCGTAGCCGAAGGAGCAGATAGACGAGCTGGAGGCCCTGAAGGAGAAGGAGGTCGCCCTGGTGCAAGCCCGCGGTGACATCAAGCTGGCGGAGAGGCGCCAGCTAGTGTCGCACCGCCCGACGGCCGCGACGCCGCGTGCTCCATCGAAGGTGGAGGCTACCAACTCAACGAAGGCGCTGCCCGTTTCCTCGAGATCGCATGTGTCCTCCAACTCGAACAAGGTGCTGGACCTGTCGAAGAAGAAACGGGACGTCATGAGCATGATCAGCCAGGCCGCCGTCGACGTCGAGGGCGACGACCGCAGGGTTGCCTAGTGAAGCAAGCCTCCGGCTTCCGTTGGCTGCGTCAGCGTCTTCTCGCTCGGAGCTTGGAGCCATGCACTCTTCCATATGTAGTCAGCTCGTCCGGTTGCGGTTTCGAGTCATTCTGTCGCGGCGCACGCAACGTGGGTCAGCGCCAACGGGGGTCGGCCAGTTCCCTCCGATCTCCTTGGGCTGACCTTCGCAGGCCTAGAGATTGACACCAACACCAATATCGGCGGTTTGCTTCCACCTGGGGAAGAAGATCCCGATCCCGGTGATGGTGGTAATATTCTGGCTTCCAAGGTAGCCGAAATATTACCACCAACACCGAAATCCGGGATCATCTTCCCCCTGTGGAGGCAACACCCTGTGTTGGTGTTGGTGCCCATTCCCAGGCCTCCTAGACCTGGATTTGAGAGGCGCGTGGAGCTGACCCCGCCACCCCTTCCTCCGCCGATGCAGGCCTGGGAGCTACTGAGAGGCCGGTCGGGCTTCGCGAACAGGGCCCTGGCCGACCCAGGTGTGCTGACCCGGGGTAGTGCGTCCCCGAACCAGGTTTGCAACGCAGGAAAAGGCTGCCTCCTCCTCCTCCTCCTCCTCCTCACTCCTCCTCCTCCTTCCTCCCCCTCCTCCTCCTCCTCTCCCCTCCTCCTATCCTTCCCTCCTCCTCCTCCCTTCTCCTCTCCTCCTCCTCCTCCTCCTCCTGCTCCTCCTCCTCCTCCTCCTTCTCCTTCATCTTCTCCTCCTCCTCCTTCTCCTCCTCCTCCTCCGAAGATCGGGAGCAATGCTAGGGGAGGGGTAGACTCCGGGGGGGAAGGCATCGGTCCCCTCCGCAAAACTTTGATGCCTCTCTCCCGTGCGTGCAAACAGATAAATCCCTGGGCTCCATGATGAGCGCCCTCCCTCGGGTCGGCGACAGTGTATCGCCTCTCTATCGCCCCTTGGAGTGGTGCCTCGCCCTCAGGCCTCTCAGTGCGGGATCCCACCAAGATCAGAATATGATCCCAACAAAACCTTGACGGGATTCCGTTGAGAGCCCGAGAGGATTGCAACTTGATCCCAATAACTACTATCCCGATCGGACTCAGAACTAATAGGGTTCAATGAGGATCCCAGATCCAGGTCCCAGTAGGACTCCACGCCGAATTGGCACAACGGGCCGCTCTCGATCCTCGTGGCTGGTGCAGACGTTGAGCTGAAGCTCGCATTATGTAACTCTGAACCAGAAAATATCTCGAGCGAGAACCACTGTCGGAAAAGGACGCGCCCTCCTCTCTTGCCTATTTCTATTTACGAATTTTCACTCCTCCCACTCCTTTTTAGACCATTCGTTTCCCACTGCCCAGAAGAGGCTGGGCTAGGCGACACATTGCGGAATACGGGTGCCAAATGACGCTGTTGGTGCGGGGGGTGCGTTACTCCTGAGACTGGAGTGCTATTTAGGACCGCAGGTCAAACGCGAACGGGATCTGCACGTTTGGACGCACGGGTCGCAGACGGAGGCTATCTTCTCTGACAGCATCTACAGCACCCTTGAATAATTTCTACACGCTTGCTCGTATCCTTTTGATTGCCCACTGCCCAGAGAGAATACGGGAGCTAAGTAACGCAGGCGATGCGGGGAGTCGATCTTACCCGTCGTGGTCTACGCACGCCTCACGGGAGCAGAAAGCCAGCATTGCTTCGCAGGGGCTGCAGGTAGAAAACGTATGGGACACAGTGGGGAAGAGGGGGGGAGGAGGGCTTCTGCTGCTGATCGTGCCGGTGCTCACCCTCGTGCCGATGCCCGTGCTGATGCCCAGGATCATGCTCGTGCTCATGGTGCTCCTCCCTCGCCACCTTCTCATCTTCCCCCTCCCCCTCCCCGACGAGCGGCAAACTGCACGAGCACAGAATCTCGAAAAGGTCGGCGCGGCTGTCTTGGCTCGGCGCGGGGCCCCCGCCCTCCCCCCCGGCGCGCGAAAAGCGCGCCCTGGTCGGCGCTGGAGGCGCCGCCTGCTGTCACTGCCACGGTGCTGGAGCTGATGCTGGCTCAGATGCTCGGGCTCGTGCTGCCCCTCCCCCTCCCCCTCCCCTTCCAGTTCCCGCTCCTCCTCCACCTCCACCTCCTCCTCCTCCTCCTCCTCCTCCTCCTCCTCATCATCATCATCATCATCATCATCATCATCATCATCATCATCCCTTCCCCTCCCCCTCCAGTTCCCGCTCCTTCTCCTCCAAGGCCGCCGCTGCTCCCCTCCCCCCGCCTCGAGGGGAGCCAGACCATGGTGGCGCAGGTGGTGACAGCTGGTGGCCTCAGGCTCTTGTCACAGACGCAGCCCTGCCCCCCCCTCACCGGCAGCCCTCCGCCGCCAGGGAGGGTGCTCGGCTTCAGAATCGATCGTCGTGAGCCTTCTCCCCATGCTCCTTTCCCCTCTCCCTCCTCTCCGTCCTTCCCCTCCACCCCATCCTCTGCCTCCTCCTCCTCCTCCTCGTCCTCCACCTCCTCCTCCTCCACCTCCTCCTAGCGAGCCAGTGGCTCGGTCCCTCGAATCGGCACCGACACGCTTCCGCCATGGCCTTCGCCGGTGCAAGGGCGCGACTGACGCAGCCCCTCGGTCGCCCAGCCAGGCCGCTGCGCCGTGGCAGGTGCGCCGCCCTCCCTCCCGCCGCGCCGAGCGCGAGATCAAGTGGCGTTGTGCATGGTGCAGCTGTGCGCGCAACCTCGACTCCATGGTCTACTGCAAGCACTGCGGAGAGTGGCGCACCGAGGCGCCCAGCCAGGGGGCGGACGCTGCATTGGAAGGCTCAGTGCGGCGGCGCCCCTCTGTTCCTCAGCGTGCTCCTCCTCCTGACGGTGGCGATGCAGGCCCTGCTGTTGACCCCAGCCTCACGGTCTCCGAGCTCGAGGACCTCGTGCGCCTGGCCGAGAAGGCAGGGGACCTGCGCGTGGCAGGACGCTACAAGCAGCAGCTGCAAGTTCAGAAGGCTGGTGATCCCCCGCCACAGCAGCGTATCAGTGCCATCGGTGCCAAGGTCGCCGAGCTCGAGACGGTTTTGGAGAAGGAAGTCCAGAAGCTCGAGCAGTACCAGCAGTGGGTGGCCCAGCAGGCGGACACGGTCGCAGAGCTCACGGAGCGTTTATCTCAGGCCGACGCCGAGTACAGGGCTGCAGTTGCCTCTCTGGTCGGTGACCGACCTGATCGAGCTGCCTCTCCAGCTCCACCTCGCATCTCCATCAAGGAGGTGGTCGACGGCACTGGCAGCATCATCGACCTCATCGACGTCGACTCTGTGTTTGACGTGGATGGCTACGAGTGCTCGGATGATGACCGCAAGAACATCGCTGACCGTCGTGATCTGCTGCGGTCCCAGCTGCAGGACGTTGCCAAGGGCCTCTTCTCTGGCGCACTCGAGAAGCTGGAGGCCATCAAGGCCGAGCAGGCCGCCCACGTCGCCCGCCTCACGAAGAAGAAGCGCAAGGGTGCATCAGGTGAAGGTGCGGCTGCAGGCCCCGTGGCAGGCGCGAAGCAGGACTCGACCACAGCCAGCCAGGACCCCAAGGCGAAGGACAGGGACAAGTCGGTCGGGTTCGCGGACTCTGCACCGCCTTCTGCTCGGTCCGCGGGAACCCCAGCAGCCCCTTCTCCGACGCCAGCGGCTACCAGCATTCGTGAGCGTGCTGCGGCCCAGATCAAGGCTGCTTCAGTGCGTGTCCCCCCTGCTGCCGCTGCTGACAAAGCCAGTGCGTAGCAGGGGGGGACTCAGTGAGCTCAATTTTGTTCAGTGTGGAGGATTTAATGCGTGGGGTGTGCGTGGGCGCACCCATAGGCACGGTCTCTCGCACAATATCCTGGCTTACGCCAACGCCCGTCTGACCAACTCCTCGTCGCAGGCTCTGGCCGCCCGAGCGAGAGCTAGGGTCAGGAGGGCGAGTTTTGATCCTACGTCTCACCAGCATCTTGTGGCCCCGTCCTGTCGCCCGCGTGGGGGCCCTGGCCAGATGCTCGCGCCTTGGCCCCTGGAGTCCTCGGCCCAGGCCACCTGTAGTTTCCGTGAGACGGGGTGGGCTGCAGCCGCCCCCGTCCACAAGTTTTGTACCCCACCCCCACCCCCTGGGAGAGCTCAATTTTCCCTGAAAGTAGAGACGCTCAATTGCACTGCATGGTCATCGCTGCAGCGATGGCTCCCGCATTGCACGTCGCACATCATCCTGATCCAGGAGCACCACCTGCGCCTCGGTGATGAAGCTGACCGAGCATCGTCCTGGGCCAAGGTTCACGGGTGGCAAATTCTCCTCACTCCCGCCCTCTCCACCCCGTCGGGGGGGACGTCCACCCCGTCGGGGGGGACGTCGGCTGGAGTAGGCATCATGGTCAGAGATTTCCTGGGCCTTCGGCCCCCGCCAGGTGGTCACGTTTTGGTCCCTCATAGGGTCGTAGGTGCCATCGTCAATATCCAAGGCGGCGACGCGCTGTACGTCGTCAGTGCGTACCTCCATCACTCCCAGGGGCTCAGCGACCACAACCTGGGGCTCCTCTCGCATGTGGCCGCCGCATTGGAGGTGTGGGCTGGACCTTATATCCTGGGAGCTGATTTCAATATGGAACCGTCGGTTTTTCAGGAGTCTGAGTTTGCAAAGTCCTGTGGGGGACGTGTGGTGATTCCTGAGGCTGCTTCTGGATCTTGCCTTTCTACTGGAGGGACCCGCCTTGTGGATTTCTTCGTGGTCTCGTTGGGTCTTTCTAAAGGTTTGGCGAAAGTCCAGGTTGAGTTTGGTGCGTGTACATCACCACACTCACCTGTGTCATTGGAATTCTATCCGCAGCTGGCGCAGCTATACGGACTGAGGTTCCGCCGACCCCCACCTATCCCTGTGGATCCTATAGTTGGGCCTCAGCCTCAGCCTCCAAACTGGGACTCTGCGAGGGCCCTTGGGCAGCAGCTTTTGGATGTGCTGCAATCTGGGCACACTCAGACTGTCCAGAATTTGTTGGATGTGGTGTACGCGGCTTGGGCCAATCTTTCTGAGC